TAAAATGAGATAATACGTGTAAAGCACTTTGCAAACCATAAAACCTTATACAAATACTAACTATTTTTATTACTGGTGTTGTTACTATTTTACAAATGAGGAAACTGGCTCAGAGAAGTAAAGAGTAAGAGCTCTGATTCTTTAGTTAGAGGACCTGAGTTCAAATCCTTTCTCCAATGTTTACTACTAGTAGAAGTAGGCAAGTCACTTAACCGTCCTTGGCCTCAGTTTTCTCACTTGTAAAATAAACGGTTGGACTGTATTGCCTCTGAGGGCCCCCTCCAGCTCTCTAAATATCCTATGACTTACCGAGAGTAACACAGCTAGTAAGTTTACACATACTGTCTAAGAAGCCTTGTGACTTTAGTAGGAGCCCAGGAACAATGAGTACCAAACATAAACAAGATCAAGCAACTGAATAAAGCTTTATATGAATAACTGACAAAGTAAATAAGAGAATCCTAAGGAAAATGACCCATTTTAGAAAAACAGAAAGCTTGCCCAAGGGAGAACAAGAAAGCCCATGGGCTTTGTCTCTAGGACAAAATAGAAATTAGGCAAAAATATCACTTAAGAAGTACCATGGAGGCAGCTAGGTGGCATAGTGGATGGAGCTCTGGCCTTGGAGTGAGGAGGACGTGAGTTCAAATACAGTCTCAGATACACGAAACTTACTAGCTATGTGACTTTGGGCAAGTCACTTAACACCAACTGCCTCACAAAAAAAGAAAAAAAAAAGTACCATAATAGCAATTCTCATTTATGCCCTATGAGGACAGGGAGCCTGTCTTATCTAAACTTCAGATCTTCCCTAGGGATTCCCCTTGTAGAATCTTCTGCACACAGTAGATACATAATATTTGCTGAAGCAAATTAAATAAAAGGAATGACTGCTGGTGGTATTTTTACATGTATTTCATCGTATACAAAAGTTTGTGAAGTAAGTAGCAAAATTATTATTTCCCTTTTACAGACAAGAAAACTGAATCTGAAAGCTTTAGTGACTTACTCAAGATTATAAGGCTAAGGAGTGACAGAGCTATATATCTGAACTCAGGTCTTCTCATTCCTCCTCTAGTGTTCTTTCTACCACCTTTCACATATCATATCACCTTTCACAAGCACTTTATACGTTAAGGGTAGTAATAAGGGGAGAGGAAGGAAATAAGTATTTACATAGCACCTATTATGTGCCAAGCACTGTGCTAAGTGCTTTTTACACATATTAATTCATTTGATCCTAGGAGGTAGGCGCTATCATTCCCATTTTACAATTGAGGAAACTGAAGCAAACAGAGGTTAAATGACTTGCCCAGAGCTTAGGAAGTATCTGAGGTCCTATTTAAACTCAGGTCTTCCTGACTTTAGGCCCAGCATTTAATCCACTGTGCCACCAGCTGCTTAGTAATAATCATAATAATTCATATTTCTATGACACTTTCAAGTTTCTGTAGTGTTTTGCTCACAACAGCCCTGTGAAGTAGATGGCACAAGTACTACCCCATTTTACAGATGAGGAAACTGAAGCTCAGAGGTTAAGCAACTTATCTAAAGTCACAAGAGTAGGACTTCAAATGACTAGGATGTAAAGACAAAAGACAACAAAAAATTTATTTTTAAATATAGCACTCTCTCTGGCACATTCTAGTGAATTCACTACAGAAGGTGAATGCTACTTCAGGTTCCAGGGGTGACCCTGTGAGGCTACCCTCCTAAAACTATAGCTCACAAGTCCCCACCATTAACAATCAGCCTATTAAAAACATTAAGTACCCATTAACTATCAACCAGTAGACACAAGTAGCTCTCAGCAAAGATATTTAAGATGTCATAGTAAGAATGTGTGTATGTTCAGCTGTTTTTCAGTCATGTCCACTCTTCATGACCCCATTTGGGGTTTTCTTGGCAAACAGACTGGAGTAGTTTTGCCATTTCATCTCCAGTTCATTTTACAGATGAGGAAACTAAGGCAAACAGGCTTAAGTGACTTGCCTAGGGTCACATAGCATGGTCAGAATGTAACTATAAAACATAAACTCATGGTGTGCTTTTCCACAAATATACAGCAACCATGACAAGAATGGGCCTAAATTGAGAGTACAATGGTAGTGAGCCACACATGTAAAATGCATGTGAGACAAAGGCAACTCAAAACTCATAGTACTGTAGAGCTTGGATGTCTTTTCTTTCTTTATGGAGTCTTTGGGTAGTTCCATGTAGGTGAAGTGTCTTTTCTGGTTGGGTTGCTCATCTGGATACCAAAGATTTTCTTCTTTCTGTAGCTTTTTTTTACTTCTAGGAGTCCCATTTCTCGAGGCTGCTCTTTTCCTGAACTGACTAGTCTTTCTGCAACTGTGTCCATCTGAGTACATATCGCTGCTCCCTCAATTGTGACCCTTTGAACTGAAGAACTCTTCAGTTCAAAAAAAGAAAGAGGGTGTTTCCCTCTGGGAAAATTACTACTGGATGCCACGGCATGGCCAATTAAAAGAAGGGAGAGAGAGTAAAATACTCTTCCACAAGGCATTCCTGATCCTGCAGTCCCTCAAATTCTGATCAGCTATCCCTAGGACCTAGCAATTTAAAGCCCTGAAAAGGCTTTAATCTAATTTTTGCTTATCCAATAAGGTTGAAAATACCATAAAGAGATAACAAGATGGCACACCTTTTTAAAACATTAAAATTTTTAAATGTGACTACATACTGTAACTACATCAACTGAGGTTAGTGAACACCCTCCCTTACGCTATCTTCCCAGTTTAAACACTTGCTGATCCCAAAAAATCAAATGGGATGCTTTTTGGCAAATTCCATGGAGCATGGTTCACAAACACCTTGGAAACAGATAATTCCACAAGGATATAATAGCTAGTGGGCCTGGGGATTGCATTCATTTCCCAATTAAGGGTTATATGATTTTAACAAACTGTTACTACCTTACAAAGTTCTCATATACTATTATTCGTCTTGCTGCTTACAAAGGCTTTCCCCAATCCAAAGACAATAAAGAAAACAAAAAAGGAAACCAAACCTAGTCCCTATAGCCCTTCTGGAACATGTGGGGCACTCCCTCACCACTGGGATTTGACACCTGGGATTTGATAATCATACCTCACTAAGACAAGGAGGCTGACATTAAAAAACAAAAAACCTAAAAGTCCTGAAGAGGTGTAGGACTCTCCAAAAAGGATTAAGTACTTGTAGTTGTTTACTCTAGGTTTCTAGGCTTACAGACAAACTTTATACTATGGACTTGCAGTCAGTAAAGACCTCAAAAAAGCTGTGTGGGGGCAGCTAAGTGGCGCAGTGGATAGAGCACCAGCCCTGAAGTCAGGAGGACCTGAGTTCAAATCTGGCCTCAGACCAAACACTTGACACTTACTAGCTGTGTGACCCTGGGCAAGTCACTCAGCCCCAGTTGCCTAAAAAAAAAAAAAGCTGTGTGGACTCATGTCAGAGTAAGGCAAGAAGTCTAGGGCTGCTTAAAAGTGTGCTTTGTTTTTGTTTTTGTTTTTAAGAGTGAACATGAATGACCTGCTAAGTGCCAGTATTTTAGAGATGTAACTTTCATACTGCTCATGTCAGTTTCCATAATCATAATAACATCCAACCACGCACAAGTCGTCCAAAAGAAACTGGTCTGACTCGTAAAAGAAAACCCCCTGGAAAACTGAATGTCCAAAAAGTGGATCCCTGCTAGGATCTTCAAGGAGGAGAGTATGGAGAACATCTTTTCCATAGTGGGTCACCCTGGATGAAATACCCATAACCCTGCTGGGGTACTCCTCTGATTTAGACACTTGGAATCTAAAGCTTGGTCTCCAGAGATTACTAACAACCTCAGGTTCTAGGGTTAACTCTGTGAAGCTATAATTCTAAAATTACAGTTCATTGGTAACTATACGTTGTGACTATATTAATTAAGGTTAGAGTTATCCATCAAAATTTGGGGGCAGCTAAGTGTCAAAATTGATAAGAGTGCTGGGTCTGCAGTCAGGAAGACTCATTTTCTGGAGTTCAAATCTGGACTCAGATGCTTACTAGCTGTACGACCCTGGGCAAGTCATTTAACCCTGCTTACCTCAGTTTCCTCATCTGTAAAATGGGCTGGAGGAGGAAATGCCAAAGTACTCCAATATCTTTGCTACTGAAATTAACATTACCACCAATTCTTCCTTAAAACTTCCTTCCCCTGGTGTCATATTTACGCTTCCAACAGGCTAGAAAACCAGTTTCTCATATAAGCTGCATTTTTTGCTGAAGTATGTAGTTTCATCAGTCAAACAATAACAGATTCATAGCAGGCATAAGATAGGTTCTCAACGATTTTTGAATTTTTAAAAAAGAATCATAGGATCAGAGCTGGAGTTGGACCTTAGTTCAACCCTATCATTTTACAGAGGGAAACTGAGACTTAGAGATGTTAACAACTAGATATGATCACATATCTAGTGAATATATTGGGGGGGTATGGAGGAAGTTTTTGAAGCCCGGGCTTCCTGATGCCAATTCAGCACACTATCTTCTCTGCCTTTCAACAAGATATTGTCCTCTCACCTCATTTCAGTTGGTTCGCATCTTATTAGAAGCAGCAGTAACCCTTCTCAACTCCACCCCCCACCCCACCACACACACTCTCTCTCACTCACACACACACACACACACACACACACACACACACACACACACACACACCCTTACCCTGTTAGAAACATACAGGTCACATATTCTATCAATGAAGAGAAGTTAGAGATGTTTGAGATCTATCTCTAACTTTTTGAAGTTGAGACTATTCCTTTTTTTTTTTTGGTAAGAGACAAAAATCTGGAGTGGGAGGACAATTGGTTTCAACTCCTGGAATTTCTTAATACAGTTCTTAAAACAATATTTCCTTGTGCTCTTCAAACCAACTCTTAATCCCCCACCTTCAACCCTTCTCTGCCCTTCTACAGAGGGATTCCCTCCCATCATCAGTGAAGCTAGACATACACATTCTCTACCTGGCACTCTGGATCAGCCTATAGGCAATGTACTTGCGGAAGAGGCACCCCAGCCTGTTTAGGTTCAAATAATGCATCTTATTTATGAGTTCCTTAACTGCATCATACAGTATCAAGGGGAATTGAAGGCCTTCCACTGCCCGGCTAAGGATCCTCAGGTTCTTCCTTTGACCCTCAATATCAATAAAGTATCGACTTTCCTCAGGTGGAGGAGCAGATGCAAAGAAATCTCTAGGACAGGGAGGGGACACTGTTGTCCTGGATTTCTCAGTGACTGTAAAAGAGGACGACCTCAGGAGCTTGTTATCTATGGGAGGGAGACAGACTTTCGGGGATATATGAGCAGAAGAGACGAGCTGTGATATTTGGAGAAACTCAGCAGAGGGTGGAGGTGGTGATTTTGAAAATTTAACAGCAGGAAAAGAATGTTCAGCAACAAAAGGTGGTTGAGGTGATAGGGCCTTGTAACCACTCTCCTCCTGAGGGGTATGAGGCTGAGTTCTCTTCAAGATTCCTGGGGACCATTCTGTTGGGGGCTTTCCAGAAGTGGGAAGAAACAGTGGCATCTCAAACTTTGGAGCAGAAGGAGGACCCAGAAATGGCTTCAGAGATGTAGAAGGGGCCAATTCCAGGCTGAGTTTCTCAAGAGCAGAAAGTTGCAGTGCTGTTAGGGACTGCCTATGGCTGTCAGGGACCAATGGCTTGAGCAGCTGTCGTCCAGGTGGGACCATCTGTCCAAGGGAAGGAGTGAACTGTGGCACATAGGTTTCTTCAGGGGCAGCAGGGTGCCACAATGTCGGGGGCTGTTCTGGGATACCAGGGGCCACAGAGGTGGTAGGCTGTCCAGGAGCAGCAAAGACCACAGGTGTGGGGGGCTGTCCTGGAGCAGCAGGGGCCACAGGTATAGGGGGCAGTCCAGGGCCAGCAAAGACCACAGGTGTGGGGGGCTGTCCTGGGACAGCAGGAGCCACAGGTACAGGGGGCAGTCCAGGGCCAGCAAAGACCACAGGTGTGGGGGGCTGTCCTGGAACAGCAGGAGCCACAGGTATAGGGGGCAGTCCAGGGCCAGCAAAGACCACAGGTGTGGGGGGCTGTCCTGGCACAGCAGGAGCCACAGGTATAGGGGGCTGTCCAGGGCCAGCAAAGACCACAGGTGTGGGGGGCTGTCCTGGGACAGCAGGAGCCACAGGCATAGGGGGCAGTCCAGGGCCAGGAAAGACCACAGGTGTGGGGGACTGTCCTGGGACAGCAGGGGCCACAGGCATAGGGGGCTGTCCAGAGCCAGCAAAGACCACAGGTGTGGGGGACTGTCCTGGGACAGCATAGGTCACAGGTATGATGGAGGGTTCCCCAAGAGCAGCAAGGGCCACAGGTGTGAGGGGCTCCCCAGGGGCTGTAAAGGTCACAGATGTGGAGGCCTCCCCAGGGGCTGCAAAGGTCACAGATGTGGAGGGCTCCCCAAGAGCAGCAAGGGCCTCAGGTATAGGGGGCTCCCCAGGGGCAGCAAAAGTCACAGGTATGATGGGGGATTCCCCAAGAGCAGCAAGGGCCACAGGTGTGGGGGGCTGTCCTGGGACAGCAGGAGCCATAGGTATAGGGGGTGGTCCAGGGGCAGCAAGGGTCACAGGTGAGGGGGGCTCCCCAGGGGCAGCAAAGTCCACAGGTGGAGGAGGCTGTCTAGAATCCCATGAAGCTTGGAACTGCCCAGGAGCCACAGGGGTTGGAGAGACCTGTTGAGGCTCCACGGTACTCCATGATACTTGGGGCTGCCCAGGGGCCCATGATGTTTGGGGTTGTCCAGATACTGCAGGGGCCCATGACATCTGCGGTTGCCCATGGACTGTAGAGGCCCATGACACTTGGGGTTGCCCAGATACTGCAGAAGCCCATGACATTTGGGATTGTGCAGTATCTGCAGGGACCCATGATGCTTGGAGTTGCCCAGTGGCTGTAGGAACCCATGACATTTGGAGTTGCTCAGGGGCAATAAGGGCCTCCAGATTTTGGAGTGACCCAAAGTGAGGAGTGGCCCAGGATACTGGGGCTTCCCTGGGGGCAGCAGGGCCCAACAATGTTGCAGTCTCACCAGGGATGGCAGGGAGCCTGGATGGCAAGGGTTGCCCAAGCTGCCCAGTGGTTAAAGGTGGTCTCAATGTTGGGGGCTGCTCAAGAGCAGCAGAGCTGCACGTTCTTGTAATTTCCTCAGGGGCAACAGGTTCCTGAAATAGTAGAGTTTCTCCAGGGACTGAAGAAGCCCCTGACGTGGGCGCTTCCCCAGAGGTAGTAAGGTACCTTGATGTGGTAGGTGTAGGAAGGCCCCAGGATACTGGGTCCTCTCCAAAGTACCTAGGGGCCCATGATATTGGGCTTTCCTGAGGGGCAGTTGTGTACACTGGCATTTCCCCAGGGGCAGTCCCTGGTTGAGGCTCCATTACGGGGAGTTTTGTAGGGATGCCAGGGGGTGGGTAAGGAGATAGATAGGTTTCATCGTATCCCTCCTGCCTAGGAAGATCGGCTCCTCTTAAACCTGATATGTCTTGTCCTGGAGTCACCTCATCCATGGCACCTGGCATCATCATCTGTGAAAGGGACTCACCCTCTAGAGGCAGAGCCAGTGTCTCCTCACCCTCTGGGGGTAGGGTCAGGGGCTCCTGGGTCTGTGGCCCCCCATGTTGTGACACTCTCTGAGCCCGCTGCTCTTGCGCCATTTGTTGCTTAACTTTTCTCCACTCTCTGAAATTCTCTGGGTACAGCTTCTGAAGCTCCTCCTCTTGTCTCCGCATTTTCTGCAGTTGAAGTTCTACCTGTTCTTGATATTTTTGGGCTATTTGCTCCTTCCATCGTTCCAGCTCCTGGGGAACCAGCATTTGATGCTGAGCTGCTTCAATCTCCCACTGTTTCTGCTTTTGCTTGTGCTCTTTCTCCTGCTGCCGCCACTGCTGCTGCATTTCCAACCACAGTTCCTCCTCTGCCTGCCACTGCCTCTGCTTCAGCTCCCATCTCCTCTTTTCATCCTGTCTCTGGAACCACGCATTCTCTTGCTGGAATTTTCTTTGTATCTGTTCTTGGGTCTCCTTCCAGAGACGTCTCTCCTCCTGCAGTTGTTTAATGAACTGCATGCCTTGATGCTTCGGAGAACTTTGGTCATGGACCAATTCAGTGCCCACTTTGTCTTCCTGCTCCTTGCGTTCGCGCCGAGCCTTTCCCCCTCTTTCTCCTGCTTCCTCTTTCACGTTGTCGGCTACAGACAAGAGCACTTTGAGTAAGTTGGACAGCACTGGATCCATTTTCTCACTTAAATTCAAAAGTGCCTGAGGCGTTGGTAGAAGCAAGGATCCTTTCTTTGAAGGCTTAGTAGGGTCTCCAGGCTTCTCTGATTGTTTTTCTTTGTATTTCTTCAAGATATTAGTCAGAATCTCGGCCATTTTTTGGAAATATTCCTCCATCTTTCCCCTTACTATTTTTAAAGACTTCTGAGTCTCTGGGTTCTTTGGCTGTACCTGTTCCTTAAATTCACTCTTGGAACCACCTTTCCCCAGGTTGTCAATCTTCTGTTGCAGGAAAGACATTAAGGCTTTCTCATAGTCCTGCAGGATTTGCTGTTCATCATTTTGGTAAGCCTCTGGCACAGTCTTTTCCTTTTTTCCCTTTCCCTTTTTGGTTGCCTTTTGCTTAGCAGCTCCATCAGATTTAGCTTCCTTGACACTAATCTCTTCAAACGAGAGTGATTCCGTGGTCTTGGGTACTTCTTCATCAGTCAGCGGGCTTTCTCTTTCCTTTTGCTTCTTTCTCTGGGCTTGCGACTCACCAAGTTTGGCTACACTTTCCACTTCATCCTCCTGAGGAGATTGGATTTCCTTGCGTCTCTTTCTCTCTGGTGGCTCAGAGCTCAGCTCCTGACATCTGCTCATCTTAGAAATGTCTGTCAAAAAACCATTTTCCCCTTTGCTTTCCTGGGACTTGGATTCACTTACTTCCTCCGGACTTCCTTTCATTTTCCCTTTGGGTTTCGGTAGCTTAGTACGATCCACCGGGGCCTTTCTCGGAGAGAAAATCTCAGGGGAAGGAGTTCTGGAACGATCTTCAGAGGCATCTTTTGAAGATTTTATGGGGGTTTTCGCAGGACTGGTAGGGGGCATTATCGACGAGGAAGATTTACTATCTAAAGATAAATCACCCTTGACTTTGCTGGTAGAGGGCATTGTCAACGAGGAAGATTTACTAACTAAAGATGAATCACCCTTGATTTTGCTGGTAGGGGGCATTTGCAAGGAGGAAGATTTACTATCTAAAGATAAACCACCCTTGTCTTTGCTTGATTCCCATTTGATACCAGTACCTCTGGCCAATCTTCTGCTTGAAGGCTCACTCCTGGCTACTTCCTGGTATTCTGGAACTGAGGGCAGGTCTACTTGTGAAGTTTCCTCAGATGAGACTGTCTCTTCAAATTCTTGCTTGATTTTTTCCTGTATTTTTAGTAGCATATTCCTCCTTTTTCTAATAGTTTCCTCAGAAGGTAAGTTTGCCCCTGCATTCGCCAAACTCAGCTGGTGTAGTAAATTTGCTTTGGCCTGAAGAAGTTCCATGCATTTTTCTTCTTGATTTTGCAATTCCTTCTCAAGTGCCTCATTTTTATCAGTGAGGATTTGTATTGTCCGCTGGAAGGTCTGTTTCTCCAGCCCGTAATACTCTTTTATTTCTGATCCCATTGTGGTACATTGGAAAATCAGATTTTTAATCTCTTGATTCTGGAACCCCAAAGCCTTGTGAAGGTTTGCTGCCGTTGAGCTTATGTATTTAATAGCATTAACTTCACCTTTGTTGAACATATTAGAGCTGATGAGCTCCTGCAGCATGCCAAGGATTTCAGAAACCTTGTTGTTTGTCAGGGCTTCTTCCTTGATCATTTGTTCTGGTTTCAAAGGACTTCCTGCTGAAGGTTTCCGTAGAACCTTTTCTCTCCAGGTTTTCCACATGGTACCTTTGGATGCTGAGAAACATCAGAGAAACAATAGGAAATGGATCTCATTTCTCACCTTGCCCTTCCATCCCTCCAGCACTGAACTCTAATCCTTGCTAATACGACCCATTTAGGGTTTAAGCCTAAGCAACGGACAAATCTAGCATGAGAGCCAGTTGAAATACTTTCATCTGTTACATGAAAAAAAAAAAGAGCAAAATATAAAAGGAGTAGGATCTCCATAAACCCTAATGGCCTAGAGTAGTAAGGGTATGGTTCAATGGCCCTCACAAACTCTGCCTTCTTTGAAATATAAACTGGGGACATATGCTTGGCCTTGGGATGACGACTTGAGCCCTGTGAGCTTTGGAAGAAAGGGACACCAAGGGCATAATATAAAGTCTGACTGTGTTTGAGCTGTTGTTAGGAAATAATACCTGGAATAAAGGACCATCAGCTCTACAGACAGAAGAGATATTAAATGAAGAACAACTCTTTTCACATAACCCATTAGAGATATTGTTTCTATGGAGGCTGAGGCAAGAACCTAGCTGGGTTCCAATCACCAAGATATAGGGTTACCCTCCCCCTCACTATGATGACAAGTGTCTCTGGGAGTTTCCCCAGCACTCAGGACCCCAGTTCTCTTCTCCAGATCATCTGTTCATGGAGTGGAAGGCAAAGAGTCATACTGGTTCTCTTCAACTTGAGATTCATTGGAAATTCTAACTTCAGAGTTTAAAACTAATTTGGGCACCATCATATAAAGCATAAATTGGAGACAAAAAGCAAATTATACTAAACAGTGTCAACTGCTTGAAGCACTTACCTAATCTTTTCTTGTATCTTTTCTTGTCTTTTAAGAAATAAATGCTAAATGCAATCAGTGAATTCATGTTGAGCTCAGTAGCACTGAGGGCTTGTGGCAAAGCTTCCATGTCTGATATCCAGCGGTAATAATCTGTTTCATCTTCTTCACTGATGGTTGCCTCAGACAAAACAGAATCTTGAGAAGAGTCAAAATAAAAGTGTCAAAGACCTTCAAGGAGAAAGGGTTTATCTTTTTGGCTGGCAACATTACATAGTAATCTGAAATGGGACAGGGGCATTTTGAATTTACTTCTACCATGAGGCTTCTCCACATGCAAAAAGATGGAGCAGGGGAAAGAGGATATTTAGATTAAAGAAAGATGAGTAATCCTGTCTCAAACTAAGAATCAGATTTGGAAAGGATATTGGGAATGTTAAGTCAAATCAATTTGGGGCATTTCTTAGATTCCAGGAAGGACTACATACTGGCCATTAAAAAAATTTTAATTATAGTTTTAATCTAGTAATCATGCTCTCATTAGAAGAAAATTCTGCCTTACAACTAACCTAAATGCCTCTCCTTATAGTTTTAACTTATTTCCTACTGTTAGTTTTGCCCTCATTAACATGGAAAATAGTCATCATTACCTAGAAAGTAGTTTTCAATATATTATAAAGCTAACCCTTAACTTCTTCTGACCCTGAATAATACTAGTTCATTTAACCTGTCCTAGTCTCTATTCTTTGTTAGAACTGTGGCTCGTTTCTAAAACACCCGCTGTAAACTTACGCCAGTCTTCCAACCAGGATAGAAGTTCAGCTAGAATCCTTTCCTTAACATCAGCAGACTGTATATGCTGGTATATTTCTTCCAATATGTTGACTCGATTTTTTTTAAAGTCTTTTTCTATGAAGGAGAAGTCCCTCTTTTTTCTGAATGTATTCAATTCAATACCTCCTTGGTAGCGATTTATGATCCGATTCACTTGCAGCATTATGTCATCAAGTTGTTCTCTCAGGTCCTACAGCAGCAGAAAGGGACATCTATAAACCAATAACCACTTTAAAAGGACAAATTGGCAGGGTGCTTTGGACATCTTTCTTTCCAAGGTTTCAGAAGAAACAAATTTTAAAATAATCCATCTTTGATATGTTTTGCATGACGGAACCTACATCAAATTGCTTATTGTCTCAGGGAGGGAGGAGGAGGGAGGGAGACAGAAAATTTGGAACTCAAAATTTTTTTCAAAATTGAACATTAAAAATTGTGTTTATATGTAACTGAGGAAAAAATAAAATATTATTTAAAAAATAATACATCTTCCACTAGGTCCTTCAGATTCTTTCAATGAACTGAAGCTAAGTAAAATGAGTAAAGTGAGCAGAACCTGGAGAACAATTTTTATTATAACAACACTGCAAAGACAAACAACTTTGAAAAATTCTGATCAATGCAATGACCGACCACAATTCCAAAGAACTAATGATGCACTTTGCTGCCTACTTCCCGACAGAGGGGTGATGGACTCAGGATGCAGAATAAGGCCTACATCTTCAGACTTGGCCAATGCAGGAATTTGTTTTGCTTGACTATGAATATTTGTTAAAAAGTATTTTGTTTCCCTTTCTTTGTTCTCAGTGGGGAGGGTAAGAGAAAGAGAGGGAGAGAACAAAGCAAATGCTTATTAATTGGAAAAAATATAATTTTTTCAAATTATCACAGGATCTTATAAATTTTTTAAAAAATGAGCCATCATCTAGTTTAACCCTTCATTTTGCAAATGAAGAAATGTAGGCCCAGAAAGATAGTGTTTTGCTTAAGGTCACACATCTAGGGTATAAGCAGAGTTGTGACTAGAACCCAGGTTATTTTGACTCCCTTTCCAGTATTTTTTCTGCTGTGCCTTAGCTGTCTCTACAGCAGATTAACCTCCTGGAGTTTGGAAGTCTGTCAAACAGGATCTAGGGTAAAGCATTTGCAGTAAGATCAGGGACACAAGAAAGCAAAGGGTAGTATAGGAGAACAGAATCAGATTTCCTAACCTAACGTCAGGAGCATTGGAAGTCAGACTTAGAAGGTATAGAGAAATCTCCACTGTTTAAGCTCATAGAATGAGACAAGGTAGAACCAAATGGTCCAATGAGAATCTCTGAGAATCTTAAGTACATGGCTTACCCTGGCATTGTTTCCTGTACTTTCTGTTGCCCTGAAAGTTCACTCTTATTTGCCTAGTCTATCTGTTTTCTAGGAGGGTCCTAACACTTTATCTAGAGATGAAAAGTTATCATATATGAATGTGGATTGTGAAGATGCTAAATCCTCCATTGCAGATTGACTAGCACATGAGAAGATAGTAGATAATTATGGTAGAACTTGACCAATATGTGTGAACCCCAGGGTCTGGAATGGTAAGAAAGAGCACACTGTTTGAAGAAAGAGGAATTGGGATCAGTTGAGTCTGGTTAAAATCCTATATGGTAAAGACTTAACATAGGAAGGAATGTCATAAAGGAGTACAATGGTTGACCAAAGCGAGATGGGAAGGCAGTCCATTCTAAAGGCAAGATGAACAGCACAAGGAAAAAATATAGAATTGAAAAGGCCAAAAGCAAGCTTGGAAGATGGCAAATAGTCCAGATTGGAACAATTCTTTTTTTATATAATATTTTATATTTTCTCCCAATTACATGTTAAAACAATTTTTAATATTTTTTTTAACTTTTGAGTTCCAAATTCTATCCTTCTTTCCCTCCCTCAGACAGTAAGTAATCTGATATAGGTTATATATGTGTAATCATGTAAAACATTCCCATATTAGTCATTTTGTACAGGAAGACAGAAAGGAAAGAAGGAAGGAAGGAAGGGGAAAATAGTATGCTTCAGTCTATATTCAGACAACATCAGTTCTTTCTCTGGATATGGATAACATTTTTCATTATAAGTCCTTTGGGATTGTCTTGGCTCATTGTATTGCTGGGAATAGCTAAGTCATTCACAGTTTTTCATCGTACAATATTGCCCTTACAGCATATGATGTCTTCCTGGTTCTGTTCACTTCACTTTGCATCAGTTCATGTAAGTATTTCCAGGTTTTTCTGAAATAATCTTGTTTGTCATTTCTTACGGAGCACAATAATATACCACATCATTTACCACATTCTTCACCATGTACCACAACTTGTTCCAATTCTTAGCCACCACAAAAGAGTTGCTATAAACATTTTTGTACTAATAGGTCCTTTTCTTTTTTATCTTTATCTCTTTGGAATACAGACCTAGTAGTGGTATTGTTGAGTGGGTATACACAGTTTTATAGCCCTTTGGGCATAATTCCAAACTGCTCTCCAGAATGGTGGGATCAGTTCATAACTCTACCAACTAGTAGTACCAACTACCATTAGTGTCCCAGTTTTCCCACATCTTCTCCAACATTCATCATTTTCCTTTTTTGTCATATTAACCATAGATTGGAGCAGTTTTAAAGTTTGTGTTGGGGACCATTCATCAACCCCTTGCAATATGATTTCTAATCTCACACTAAACTGAATTTGTTCTTTTAAAAAGCAACCGTGACTTCCTAGCTGCCCCCCCCAATGGCCTCTTATCAGACCTTATTCTCCTTGAAATCTTGGCAATATCTGACACTATTAATCATTCCTTATTCCTCCTTGCTATTTTCTCTTCCCTTGGTTTCCATGACTGTACATCTTCTGGTTCTCTGATTCCTGTGTATTTTCTCTGTCTCATTTTCAGGTTCCTTTTCTCTCTTCCCTTAAAGATATTGCTGTTCCCCAAAGGTCTACCTTGGTCTTCTTCTCTACCTTCTCTCCCTTACCAATTTCATTCATACCCATGGCATCTGCTACCAGTCCTATAAACTATTTCTGTACTGTACTGTATTACTGTAGACTTATAGATGTTCATTTTCAGTCTTGACATTTTGCATCAGAGCTACTCACCCTATAGGAGACACTGTGTCCTAGAAGGAGTAAACCCAGAGAGTCTAGATATATGCCCAGCATAGAGGCTGAGCCTGGGAGAGCAATAGGAAAAAATAAGGAAATATAAAATAAAATAATACATATTACATAATATATATAATATAAAATTAAAAAAAAACAAGGATCCTGCAGCACTGAAACAGCAAATTGCCTTGGCCATATGTGTTTTCCACTTGTGTTCTTCTCTACTACTGTACTTCATGTGTGTTTCCACTTTTCCTCCTGACACTGTGTGCACTTGTGAGAGTTAGTCTTATATTTCTGGGGAGAAGGTTTTACAGCTACTGTTCTGAGGGTACTATCTCAATAAATATCTTTGCTTTGAGTTAATTGTGTCCTCTGGCTGACTATAATCACACTGTTAGGGGCCTCTGAGCTATAGATTTGGGAATTTGGACTCACAAATATACTTCATCATGGAATCATGGTTGGTCATCATTTACTGACCAAAGTTCCTATGTTTTTCAAAGTTGTTTGACTTTGAAATATTGTTGTTCTGCTTACTTCACACTAACCTGGCATAGCCATCAAGTTGGGGGACCCAAGCTATGACTATGACTTAATGTGGTGGCCCTCAAGGTATATTATACATAACCGAATCCCTCTGGCTTGTCTCCAAAATTTTATTCCATTTGTTCAATAGATTATGCTTTCCTCCTCTTCACATTTGAGATACATATATTATTCCCTTCCCTTATCTTGGAAGTACTATATGATTGAATATTACGATATATTGAAAAGACATTACCCCATGCTGGGGACAATGTAGAAGAATACATAGAAGTGAAGTGAATAGAAATGAAGACAGAACCAAGACGGCAAATAAAAGGCAGGAAGATGTCTGAGATCTCCCCAATTCTCCTCGAAACCACTTTAAATCATGACTCAACACAAATTCTAGAGCAAGAGAACCCACTAAAGAATGGGGCAAAACAATGTTCCCGCCTAAGATTCCTTAGAAAGACTGCAGGAAAAGTTCATCTCACTTGAGTAAAAGGTGAGCACAACCAAGCACAGGTGGTGTCTGGGCAAGCCAGTGGGAGAGCCCCTAAGCCCCAACACAGATGAGCAACCAAATCACTGTAGTCCAGCTCAGCAGGCCAGTGGCATAGAAGGCCAGCTGTGAGGGGTCCGGCTCTGGTGTAGCAGGCTAGTGGCTAGGCTTGGAAGGCCCAGAGGCCTCTGCACAGCAAGCAAGCCACCAGCCCTGGATGCCTGGGTGCAACAAGCCATTGGTCAGGGCACTGGCCCCTGGTGCAAGAAGCTTGGGACAGTGTCCCCTGTACCACAGGAACAGAGATCAACTTTAAAAGTAATGAAATAGGCTAGAAATGAGCAAAAAAAAAAACCCACAAAAAAAGCTCTGACCATAGAAAGCTACTATGGTGACCGGGAAGATCAAAACACAGACTAAGAAGAGGACAAAAATGTCACAATTCCTACATGCAAAACCTCAAAGAGAAATATGAATTGGTTGCAGATCCTAAAAGACCTCCTGGAGGAGCTCAAAAAGAATTTTAACAATCAAATAAGAGAGGAAGGTGAAAAAATGGGAAAAGAAATGAGAGTGGTGCAAGAGAATAATGGGAAAAGACTCAACAGTCTGGTAAAGGAAGCACAAAAAAAAAAAAACCAGAAAAAGATATATAAAAATTCACTAGAGAAAGCAGAATTGGTCAAATGGAAAAGAAGGTACAAAAATCCACTGAAGAAAACAACTCTTTAAAAAGCAGAATTAGTCAAATGGAAAAAGGGTACAAAAGCTAACTGATGAAAATAATTCCTTAAAAATTAGAATAAGGCAAGTGGAAGCTAATGACTCTAAGAGGTATCAAAAATCAATCAAAAGAATTTTTAAAAAATGAACAAATAGAAGAAAATGTAAAATACTTCATTGGAAAAACAACTGACCTGGAAAATAGATCCAGGAGAGATAATTTAAGAATTATAGGACTACCTGAAAGCCATCATCAAAAAAAGAGCCTGAATAGCATCTTTCAAGACATTATAAAGGACAATT